TTTTTTTTTGAAAACTTCTTCGAAGATTTACGATTTTTTTCGCGCGACGAAAACAAGCCTGTGAATTGTAGATGACGACTCGTGCTTCGAGGGAAGTTGAATATATTAATCATACAACTGGCAATCCTGAAAGAGTTTCGTACATCTTGCACTTGATACTTTTTAATAAAGATTCGCCGAGATTAAAGAGACTGGAGATATTTCTAATTGGAACGGGCGTGTTAAACTTCAAGGGAGTTTAATTAGTCCACGGGAGCGCTGGCTGCGATATTTGCATGTCTGAGTAGCTTAAAAATTGGATTTCCTACGACGCCTGATCTTTCGCCGTTTCCGTTCGTTCCTTTTCCTCTTTATTGACATAGTTTCCGGCCTGCTGACTTGGTGGTCTTGCCGAGGTAACGAGACAGCGGACGAGAGGGAAAAAGAGAGGGCTACGCGCCGGGTCGCTGGGCGTGCAGAGGTATACAGCGCGAGAGTAGAGAGATATCTCCGTGTATTGATTTCGTCTCGAGCATTAAATCCGAATAGGCCGGAACCGGGCGAGTCGTCCAGGTGAAATCAAGAACTCCGGTGAACCACTTCAGCCTCGGTGGTGCTCGCTTGCAAATTAAATTGTACTCGAAAGCCGGGAAAGCAACTGCGAGTAGGCCAATGCAATTGGCTTGAGACCGGCCGATGACTATTATGCAAGCTAATGTCATCGCCACGCAGCCATTGTAGGCGATACGACATTTTGCTCGGCGCGCGATACATAACAACAGCGAAACTTAGTTTCCGGCCGAAACTTACGACTGCGTGTGACTCGAGATGAATGGGAAACGTTTCAAGCTCGAGATGCACACGGCTCGTACCGAATCGACGTGTAAACTCCTCCTCCCGTGCTGTCAAAATTTCGCGATCAAAACACGAGGAAAGAATTAATTAATTACGTTTGTATTCAAAGGGCTGGAGAGACCGACACCGCCGCTGCTCCGACCGGATCGAATTAAACGGAGAAACTTAAATTACATTAGCGACGATCATACTTGATTCACCGCGTGCGTGGAACCGTCTCGGACACGCTTTATTTGGCCCGTCGATTAATCAACCGAGCGCGCACGGGGAATGTTTTTGCGCGAGCTCTTGGCAAATATTTGCGTTTCACCGTTACTCATCGCAAAAAAATACAACGACGCTAATTTATACCTTGTCGAAACTGTGCGTGGTGTGTATGTGTGTGTGCATCCGCGCTATGCCCGACCCATTCGAAACGGCGATGCATTCTTGTTCCGAAGGTGGAAATCTCTCGGGTCGGAAAAGTGGAGCAGCGGAACGGGAGGCAAGGCACGCGAGTCCTAGCCGCCATCTGAGTGCTCGGTCGCAGAGGGAGTAACGACAGGAACGAAGGGAAGCAATGGGAGAAGAGTGGAATTAAATAGGAACGACAAGTAATAACGAAAAGAAGCCGAGGAGAGCCTGTGCAACCTCTTCGCTTCGACTTCCTCGCTATGCGATAGGAAAAATGAGAAGGACGCTGAAAGGGTCGCCTTGATGAATGAAACTAGAATGTACGTATGTACATCATATTGTATACTAGATCTAGGAACAGATTCTCGATGAAAGGAAAACGCTCTACGATGTGTTTTAATTTCGTCCA